GCCAATGTTATCCGCAGGATCGCATAATCGATCTCGCGCGCTCGACTAATCCGGGCCTAATCGTTTCACGGCGCTGCCGCGGCCAGAAAAGTTCCCTCTGAAGGGAGGGAGAGTCGTTAGAGGATAGCAGGACTTCCTCCTTGCAGCCGCAGTGAAGATGCGCTTAATTCTTCGATGCATCTTGTATTAGCCTTCGTGGCTTAAGCAGAATCACGATTGATAAATCGTACCTTTAATTTTCTGTAAACTTCATACAATTGAAATAGAAAAATAGAATTCTCTTTTCGTATACAGAGTGTCCCCTGACGATGAATATTTTGAAGACAGTTTCTTTGTAACATTATAAAATGAAAAGTCTAATACGAAAATATCGATGCTCGATCGTTTTCACAAGTAGGAAGAGAGTTTACAAATTACGAATGACGAAGCTAGAATTTCACGCACTTAGAAATGGTAAGATGATTAAGTGTGAAGGTATTGAAATTTGTTATTATCAAAAACATCGAGGAAGTACCATCTTCGCATTGACCATCTTATCATCTCTGAGTGCATGAAATTCTAGACCCAACAGTTCTAATTTTTGAAATTTTCCTATTTGAAAACTATCATAGCCTTTACATTTTCCTACTGGACTTTTTGTCTTAAAATGTTTTTAAAATATTTCTCGTCAATTTTGAGACACTCTGTATATATCTACAAAAATATGCGTTTGTCCAAAGTGAAATCATAAAACATTAAGTGTGGCAAATGGTCGTCATGTCGACGAGTCGTCGGTTGATAGTTACCTTATAAATACACATCTCGCTTTAATCGGGATCGATCCTCCTTGCTGAACCTCTCGGCGGTACAGAGGGACGCGAGGAGGGGATGAATTGTAGGGTGTGCCGAGTCGCGAAAATGTTTGGTTAGCATTTGGCTTATTGGCCGGCGAATGTTCGTGCGCTGTTAGGCATGTATGGATGGCCCCCAGGTTATAATAAAGCTAATTCCGCGGAGCTCTCGAGGCAGCTCGTGCCGCAACATGTTTTGCCTCTCGTTCTACCACGCCCGCCGTCCTCCGCTTTACCCCTCGTCGTCTCACCGATATATCCGCCGCCGCCCCCC